CGTGGGAAGGAGAGCACCAGGCAAAGCAGGTTTTATTAATTCCCAAAACATTAATTTGACAGTCGTTGGAAACAGAGACAATGTGAAAAGGAACGGGAAGGGTTTGGCAAATAAAGACCGTCCCGTTTTATCATTCATGGGTACACCAGAGTGGTTAGCACAGTGAGACAAGGCTCAGAGCCAGTATAAAACCTCCAGCCTCTATCCCCATTGCTGACCCAGGGCTCCTCCTCAGCTGACTCACACCCAGGCCTTCATGTCCCCTCCATTCCCGTCTCCCTCCTCAAGCCACATACCCTCTGTAACACTGCCTTGGCTAAAGCAGAACCCCAAGGAAGGAGCCTGTGGAGTCCTCCCTACAGCAGACACACCAATCTCACTGGGTCTGGGTAAGACTGGCAGCACATGGTGCTACCAAAAAGAGCCACTGTGTTTTTATGTAAGCCCTGGAAACTTGGTCATAAATAATTTCAGGTGTTTTTGTAAGGGAACCTGACTATGAAACAAGCTTTGAAAGACCAAGTTCAGGAAAATGAGAGGCCAACAGGGACTAAGTTCAAGACAATATAATTTGTTTTTCAGGAATTTATATTATTCTATACACACATATACCTCCAAATGCACATAGGTATGTATTTATACACACAGCACCGAAAACTTCTTCGCTCAATTTAACTTTCTTGCTTTCTGTTAATGTTGTCTAGTTAGGCCTCAAAATGGCAGCTCAGACTGTACAAATCCTCTGCCAAGGAACTGTGCCCAAGGTGGGGGTTACAATAGAGACAATGCTCAGAAGACCAAAGCTGTGCACAGGAAATTTGCTACTGCCCTCCCTGCAATGTGCAACACCATTCAAAACTTGGTACATCCGGAGGGAAATGCCAGAGTCTACCAAGGCAGCAGATAATTACACATTAGCACTTTAAACAAAGTTTCCTTAGTTCTCCACAAGTGTAAACAAGTGTTTTGAAAAGACAGCATACACATTTTAGGGAGAAGACAACACCACATTTGCATGCTTTACAGAATCAACACCTCCCTTCAGACCAAGTCTGGGATGTTTTCATGGGCAGCAATCTCTGTTCTCCTCAAGCATGAATCCATAGTCATTGGAGAGCCAGTATTTCAGGTGCACAGCATGATCCAGCTCCTACTCTCTGTTACATATATATTCATAGTTCAATTATCAGTGGGAACCTCATTTATATCTGCATGTAGATATTTCTATCATTTACACAGGTAAACTACCAGTAAACCAAGAGCAAGTAAAGTCTACTCCATCCAGAGATGCTCAAATAAATGTTTAGAGAACACCAACATGTCTTAAAAAGCATATTGAATACTCTCTGCAAGTACCTGGATGAATTCTTGTTCATAATTTTATTATGTTCTGCATGTTCAGAAATTTAAAGAGACATTCAAACTCCTAGCATGGTAAACAACAAACGTTAAACATTTAATATTCTTCAGTTGTCTACCTATGCTTCATTCCATGAAGAAACAAATAATCTTCACAGATTGCAAGCATACTGCTCTGCATTAATTAGTAAAAGATGAAAATGAGTGAGAAACGTTTCCAGGCTATTAGATTTGTGCTCTTTTTCTAGACTTATCTGCAAAAATCACAGTATGGTTTCTAGAGTTTTGTCAACTTAGGACAGATTTCTGTCCCTCACTGCTACTGGTGAACTACGCAAAGCCAGCTCCAGAAACAACTCTGAATACTGCTCGTTCCCTTTTTACAAATTTGTGATGGAAGTATATGTTCCAAACAGATTTAACATACATACAGGTAGACTGCTACAGTCGAAAACAATAAAAAAGTAAAAAAATAAAGGATCATTTCTGCCCCAATTTTGTGCATGTGTTTCAACAGCACTTTTGTTTTGGTTTTGGAGAAGTCCTTTTTCTTCTACAAAGAATTAAAGAGAAAAATTACATCCACAGTAAGGTAAGTGAAAAAACAGTGAGTTTGAACTTCTTGAAAACTGTTCAACCGGTTTTATTCATGCAGCTTAAAAACAAAGAATTGCAGAAACTTTGTAATCCATATTTGGCAATGTTCTTCAAGAGCAGTTAAGACATGGGATTATTGTTATTTAGTTGGAGTGGAACATTCTGTATGCACAAAACTTGTGTATATTGTAATGAGTAATTAAAGTGTGGCTGAAGAGTTTATAAGCATAAAAAAATCAACAAGTACAGCATTCAGCTCTTAAATCCAGTACAAAAAAATTAACAGGTTTTGGGCAAGGAAGCAGATTCTTGGTTTGCAATACAGCAAAAAAAGACCATGATTAGTCAAGATCCCAATTGCATTTTATCTCCTTTATCTCATCCAAAGATGGGGAAGATTGCAAGAAGCCAGTCAAATTGCAAAGCCATATCTGACTGTTGCAGATTTAGCCACAGTGCTCATGGCCACAACCTCATCTAATGCCTTCAAGTCATGTATTTTTTAAATGATGCCTACTAGCAATCTCGACTCTGTTTACAGAACTGCAAAAATCCATTTAGCTCATTTTGCAATCCTGCTTTAACAAGTAAGACTTTTACTCCAGGCTGATCTACTTCAACCAGTCCCCAGGTAACTCTACAGAGGTAAACGCAAGGAACCACTGTCAGGATTTAGCCTAACTCCTGCTTGCCTGCTTCACTGCTGAAAATGGTAGCTGGCATAACAAGCAAGAAAGACAGAAACTTGAAGTCACCAGCTGCACCAAAGGAAAATCGTGCTGCACGTATTGTAGCCTAATCTCTCTGCAGGGGTATTTTGGTGGGACCCCGCCAGCATTTCTGAGAATCCCTTATCTGTAAGTGGGGCTGTCACAGAACACCACCACAATGATCAGGGAGTAAGCAGCCCTCTGTCTCCTCTCATTCATGTTGCCTAGATAGGCTTTAACAGCAGACTGTGATTCACGTGTGAGGAATGTTGGGTAGATATCCCCACGGAGCCCACAGACTGCGGTTACTGCTTTTATTTGCAGCAATCTGAGGATTCACGTTTCTCTTGTTAAATCAGCAATGACACAGTGAAGTGCAGGTCTGGGCATGGTCCAGGTTCATACTGAACATCTACAGAATATCTACACACACACTTTTCAGACTTCTATATTAATTTGCAGTTTGATCATATGTGGACGTAGGTAAGCCCATTAGTTTCTGCAAATACAGCATCCCACCAACAATAAATCTTTGCTCTCCCAGAGCAGTACCACAATAATTTCAACACTGCATAAGGTGTTGATTAGACTCCTGCTTGTCAACCTCATAAAGCATTACACAGGATGCATTTTATATACCAACTGACCTCCATGATTCTTCTCACTTTATGTGAAAATTAATCACTTTGCTTAAGAACTTTGCAGATGCAGGCCTTGGGTTTGTAATGTCACGCTCGAGAGAGATTTCATTTTTATATTTCACATGGGTCTTAAAACTGCTTTTTTGTGTTGGAAACACTTCCTCAAACTAACTGTGGGAAGTTGGACATGGGGCTGTACACACAAGTGAGGTACATGTGGAATATCTCCTATAACTTGTTAATCATCAGACACTTTCTCATTCCTTCCATTTCCTGTTCTGTTTTCATCACAAAGATGCTCAATGACATACATTCAAGGCATTTTCAGAAGAACAAAAGGGAGGAAGGAAACAGTTCAAAAAAGGAAATTAAGGGAAAATAGAAAAGAGGAAAGCAGAGGCTGTAGGAAAACAATGCAAATAGCTGTAATGGCACTCTTCATTTTCTAAAGAAATCTGTATTAAGGACATTTATGACCTTATATAAATTTAATAATCATTGGGAGCTTATTAAAAATTAATAAATAAAACCAGAGGTCATTATGTGTACTGCAGGTAACATGCTGTCCTTCCTAATGCTTTTGTCAAGTTTCAGTGCAATGATGCAAACAAGAAGAAAGAGGCTTTCAACACTGTCTGTCTACTGAGTCTATAAAATAACATCTCAGTGATAGTTTTAATGAAAAAGTTCTCCACAGGCTGGTGTCTACCTGCCACCTCCCAGTGTGCCCTTCTCTCTATTCTACCTCTACACAGTCAAGTAGCTTCTTAAAACTTAGCTTCTTTGGGCAACTTTATCTGTCTCTTGGCAGTAAAAAAGTGAATTGCTCTGAGACAAAGCTATTAAAATGTTCTGTGATAGCTAGATGAAGCAAGTGGCATGACCTAGAGTATTTTGTAGAGTTTTGTCTACAAGATTTATACCAAAGTTCAGTGGTTCTCTCTATCAAAATATGGCATTGCATGCTCTGCTAAAGAGAGATATTTCTTGTCCTTTCCATGACCATGCAGACCATCTCTTTCAGTAACTACCACATAGCACTTAGCCACATTCTGCTTGTGAAAAAGCAGTTACAGGACAGTATTTAAATCCATAAACAGTACAGGATTTTCTTCTACTGTTGTTTAGCAACTAGAGCCAATGCTAGGTGGTGAACACAGATACTCAGACTTTCCAGAGAACAGTTTAGGAAGTGCTGTTGAAACCCATTTGGCCAGCCCTGGTCTTTTACAGCATCCACTAAGCAGCAGACTGAGAAGCCTGCTCAATCTGCTATGATAAGTACCTTGCAAAACCCTTTTAAATAAAAGATAGTAGTTCTGTGAGACGAGAAGGAATGATGCCCACTGCCTCACAAGTTAATGTCTTATGTCTGATGGATGCTGATGTCTAAAGAGGGCAGAAAACTTTTCTGCCATGATTCAGGCAGATTGTAAAGCTAGGTGCTTCTAGGATCACTCTCACAGGCTGTTTATTTCCACAAAACTTGAACAAAACTACTTGAAAATTTGTCAAAATAAGTTGATAACAGCCACATTTAAAAAAAAAAAAAAAAAAAAAAAAAAAAAAAAGTATATTAAAGGGAGGCTTACATAAACAGACACATTGTATTTAATGGTAGAAATCTTGCTTCTGCAGAAAAACAAGTTTAAAACATTCTCAGCTATGAAATCTGAAACTGAACTCCACTTACCTTAGTGTTCATACAAGATTTTCCACGTTTATACTCTTTGTGACTTGCTCTTTTATCAAGCTTGTTCCACAAAGCTTTGGCCTTCCACGTGTTCACTCTTGACTTCAGCTTGGTGTAAAAGTTCCTGTTGTCGAAAGGATCCAATTCAAGTTGGCGAGTAAGAATATTAAAGGCCTGAATAGTACCTTTGCATGTTGATGCTTGTACAAAGTTTTCAAATATCTGGCCGGCTTGATTGTATTTTTCATCATCGTTTTCCCCCATGTTCTGAGCAAAGTGATTGAAAAGAATCAAGTTGGAGCTCTTGTGCAGGGATAGAGGTGATGAACACTACCAAGTACTTCCAAGCATGTTATTCCTAGAAAAGGCAAACACAAGTCATGTTGAATCAAGTTCTGCCTGCTTACATAAACAGACACATTGTATTTAATGGTAGAAATCTTGCTTCTGCAGAAAAACAAGTTTAAAACATTCTCAGCTATGAAATCTGAAACTGAACTCCACTTACCTTAGTGTTCATACAAGATTTTCCACGTTTATACTCTTTGTGACTTGCTCTTTTATCAAGCTTGTTCCACAAAGCTTTGGCCTTCCACGTGTTCACTCTTGACTTCAGCTTGGTGTAAAAGTTCCTGTTGTCGAAAGGATCCAATTCAAGTTGGCGAGTAAGAATATTAAAGGCCTGAATAGTACCTTTGCATGTTGATGCTTGTACAAAGTTTTCAAATATCTGGCCAGCTTGATTGTATTTTTCATCATCGTTTTCCCCCATGTTCTGAGCAAAGTGATTGAAAAGAATCAAGTTGGAGCTCTTGTGCAGGGATAGAGGTGATGAACACTACCAAGTACTTCCAAGCATGTTATTCCTAGAAAAGGCAAACACAAGTCATGTTGAATCAAGTTCTGCCTAATGAAATTAAACCCACAAACGGCGTATCCAAAATGAACTTAAAAGCAGAGGACAGAGTAACTGGACAACCAGCTACAAAAAGTTAGTAAGTGGCATCCAAGATAAGTGTTAGAAACAAATGTAACATACTTGAGCTGTCAAGACACCTACTTCACAGAGACTGTTACAAAACCCCTACAAACTCAAATTTGCTGTTTCTAAAACAACAACTTCACTTGAGAGCCTGAGGATTTCTGCAATTTTTGTCCAGTGATGAGTGCTAGATAACAGATGAAGAAAAACCCAATGTCCAGATGCTTTTCCCAAGCAGAATTTATGCCACAGTACATCTCTGGTAATGTTTTGGTCTTAAGAATTCATAGAAACCTACACAAAAAAGTCAACACTATTTAAGGGAATTTTTTCCTGTTGCACAAGCTAGGACGAGGAGAGCAGCTTAGCCAGAGCAATTTAGAATTGGCACAATCACTTGCCATGAGCAAATGCACAAAACAGGCTAAGCAGAAACATTATCACAAGTTACACCAGAACTGAAGAAACAGAAACAAGTAACTACAGAGAGCTCCCCTTTTTCTAGCTCTCTTGCCAAAATGAGAAAGTGTTCAGTACTCCAGCGCATAGAAAGGAATTTTATCTCCATGTCTCCACATGTCAAATGCTGAAGTTATGTGTTTGGAGCCTTACCTTGTCATGTGCTGATGATATAAAGTAGTGATGTTTGGCCTACTAAGCCCCATTGGCTTTTCCTAGTAACATGATCACTGTCAAACTGTGCCTGATATTCCAGATAAATGCTCTTTCAGAATGCAAGGGTAATGCTCTTCTAAATTAACCTAAGTTTAAAAGAATTAACATACTTCCATTGCAACACTCCCTTATCCTTCTTTAACCTTGCTTTCAATCGCTAATGAGGAGAGTTTTAAAAGTCAGCCAAGGTCCACAGAAAATATCGAAGTGGCTTTCACATTTTCCTAGGAAATTTTTAGAGGCTATGTATAAACTTGTCCTCAGAAGAGGGTCTACCTGGACTCAAGTACAGAGATTCAAGACATGCATTATTTTTCCTGCTATTAAAGAATTATCTACCAGTCCAAGAAACCAAAAACTAAATCAGTGCTTGCCTAACCTCCCACATAATTAGTTATTTTGCTTGGAACTTCATATGTTGGCTGATAGTTTTAGAACAAATTGGCAGAAAGGCCTTTGAAGTTATGCTTTTTAATTTAACACTGTTCACAAACTATTCATTTTCTGCTCGCATTTCCTTCAAAGAAAAGGGAAAACATAACCAGTGTATTTAAGTCAAGCAAAGACCTACCGTGTCTATCTCACAGTCCTCTAATACAGAAAAATATTATGCAACTTATTAAAGAGATCCCATGGGGAGATATAAGGAAGCATTTGGAATACTCACATTCCCTGGCTACACTCAAAATAAATAACCTTTGTGTGCACATCATCAATCTGTTGTTGGTTTGTGGGTAAAATAAATTGGCAACGCTAAGAGTTTGTACATTTTCTTAGACCAAATGTCAAGATTAAATATTTGGTGCCAAGAATAAGTCAGGAAATTTTTGTTTTCCCCTCTGAATACTTCATTTATAGTATGGTCCATGCCCTTTTCTGAAGAGCTTTGTGGCTTTGAGAGGTAAAAGCACAAACATTTTATATGTCCCCACTTCCAGAAGGTCTAATTTTTCAAGAAACTGAATGCTGTGAACTCTCCTTGACTCAAGAAGAGTTCAGGACACCAGTACCTTTCCAGGTTCAAGTCCTCCACGATTAATGAGCAAACCCTTCCAACAACTGCATGCCAGCAGGAGGGAGCTCAGCCACCTTCAGGATCCCGGCGTCGGTGAGAGAGGGGCCCAGCACTACCCTCACCAGCCCCAGCTTTGGGAACACAGAGATACACAGTAGTTTTTGGGTTAGTCCATAACCAGCGAATAGATCCAGAAGTTCCTAGGATGGAAAGGTAAGGGACTGTGGAAAAGCTGATGTGTGTCCAAACTCAAGCTTTACACAAGTGCTATTACAAGGGGAAGGCAACCCAACTAAAGATAGTGACAGCACAGTGTAAGACACTGCAATGTGGCTCAAACAGCTAGATATATAGGCACCTCAGGATTCCAGACCCATTAAAAAAAAAAAAAAAAAAAGATAAAAAAGATAAACACTTACTTTACCTGACTTCCATACCTGCCTGAGGTGTTTTTTTATAACAGAAAAACTGAAGTATTTTTCTTTTCTCTCAAAAAAAGTACAAACAGTTTACTGGGGAGTGGGGAAGTGTCAGTGAACATTCCACTTTGGGCATTTCAGCTAAGGGAGTGGCAGCCAGATTAGGTTTGCTTAATTGCTATAAACTCACCTCACTACTGCTTCAGTCCTACCAAATACTTTGACCAAATTAATAGCTATAAAACAATACTTCCCCTCCACTGTTTTCACTAGCTCGTCACAAGACTGTTATCATGTTCATATAACACAAATATCTTTAACAGTTAACTGTGGCATAATTGATAAGTGAGTCTATTCACAAGCTCTTAAATTTAGTATCTTTTCTGCTCATAGAGATGATTTTAATAGCCTTTTACTGTTACCATGCAGCAAGGGGCAACAGGGAGGGGGGAAGTGAAAGGCTGGAAAAGCAGAGTCATATCTGAACCAAGCAAAGAAGAAAGGCTGCTTGTGCCAGGGCTGATTGCAGTGAGAAGACAGAAAAGACAGGCAGCAGGAGCCGCAGCAGCCAAACGGAAAGGGAGGAAAACAATTTTAGCATAATGCAAACCCAATGAAGTAGGTGTTGCACACAAATAAACACACACAAGCATGCAGCAGGCCTGGGCTTCCTCTGCCTTTCCACTGGGGAAAGCCAAGGCACCTTCCCTAGCCTTAAAACTTCCCTCCTCCAACATCGCAAAGCCAAGGCTGAGGCTACTCATTCTGGGCACAATATCATCTCCTCGTGAACTCCCAAAACACTCCTTGTCCACACCGAAAAGCTGTGGAGTGGCATCTCAGCACAGACATTTGCTCACCAGTGAAGCATTTGTCTTTGCTGTGTCAAAGGTCATGTTCTCCAAAAAAAGCCACATTTTGTGGTCAGAAAGGCAGGATGAGACAAGACCTTCTGGTTACTGAGGTTTCTAGCTTGCTGGAAACACCACTTTTTTCCCTCTATATTTGGCATGAACACTGTTTACAGATGACAGAAAGGAAGATGGTGCTCTAAGTGTATGTGGCTCATGGAAAAGTATGTGAGTCACCAATATTTCACTGCAGTGTTGTACATAACCCACTAGAAACAATGCAATAAACTTAAAAAGTTGAAGAGAGTAACTCTTAACTTTAATTAAAGTTTCCTGTTCTGTAAGTGTCCCAAAGACTTAAAAGGCAAGGCATAAACTGCTTACCTGTAGTGGGAAGAAACAAACAAAACAGTGTTTGGGGAAATAATTGAGTTCTTATAGTGTTATAATTTACCCTTTTTCTTCCTTCATCATACAGATCATTCTAGAGATGAAATATAGATTTTTAAAAAAAACAACCCATTAGTGTAAGCATTGATGCTGAAACTGCAAACTTTGCTTTTCAAAGTAATCCTTGAACTTCCTCTGGAAGCACAATCCAAAAATATAATGAAGTTTATTTGAAACTTTACTGAAGTGCTACAGAACCCAATAAAAAGTGGGCCACAGAAAGGAAGAGAATTAGAGAGCAGGAAATAGTCTGGACAAACAGTTCTTTAAAGTCAGGACTGAAGCAACCATGGGTCAGATTCACAGCTAACATGAACTGTCATTTTAGGTCCCACACATGATGTAATAAGCACGTACAAGAATTTGGCCCTCCATGCAGCTTCCTGTGGAAGGGACAGGAACAGGGACAGTCCCTGGAGGGCTTCCAGACACAAAGTGCAGACACTGGGAAGAAGGGCTGCATTTTGATGGTCCCTTTTACTGTAATAAGTTAGCCCCACCTCCTTTCTGCTCCCACTCAGGGGCAAACAGGAATGTCGAATAAGAAAAGCTGAGAAGTGCTGTTAATACCTGGTGGGTACCCAAGGAGAAAGTGCAGATCTTCTTACAACTTACAGGAAAGCAGTGCAAAAGGGACAGAAGGCAGAAATTAAAGCAATGATGCATGTACAGATGCATATATAGGAAAGCAACCACCTCCAGTCCTAGCTGGTATTTCCTGTCAGCAAAGCAAGCTGTTACTGCAGAGGATTTTGAGAACACACAAAAAAGCATCCTCCACTGTCAAGGTATCTCCACTGATTATCACTAGCTAAATGGATGTATGGAGCTGGTTCACATCCACACACGAAGCCTTTTGGCTTAACAGAGCA